TGAGTCCTAATGAGGATGAAACCGGTCGCGACGGTTTGTGTGTTTGTCTCATTGCTGTGGGGATGGTAGTCTGTGCTGATGAGTCCTAATGAGGATGAAACCGGTCGCGACGGTTTGTGTCTTTGTCTCATTGCTGTGGGGATGGTAGTCTGTGCTGATGAGTCCTAATGAGGATGAAACCGGTGCGACAGTTTGTGGCTGTGTCTCATTGCTGTGGTGATGGTAGTCTGTGCTGATGAGTCCTAATGAGGATGAAACCGGTCGCGACAGTTTGTGGCTGTGTCTCATTGCTGTGGGGATGGTAGTCTGTGCTGATGAGTCCTAATGAGGATGAAACCGGTCGCGACAGTTGTGTCTTTGTCTCATTGCTGTGGGGATGGTAGTCTGTGCTGATGAGTCCTAATGAGGATGAAACCGGTCGCGACAGTTGTGTCTTTGTCTCATTGCTGTAGGGATGGTAGTCTGTGCTGATGAGTTCTAATGAGGATGAAACTGGTCACGACAGTTTGTGTCTGTGTCTCATTGCTGTGGGGATGGTAGTCTGTGCTGATGAGTCCTAATGAGGATGAAACCGGTCACGACAGTTTGTGTCTTTGACTCATTGCTATCTGTTGGGATGAGCCACATTTTCCCCAACCCTTCCAATCGGTGGGTCTACACGATAATGGTACACACGCACAGTCAGTTCTTGTGAGATGGTGGTCTGGACGAGGCCGAACTTTACACGCAACGCTGCACGCCTTTTGCGAGTTACATCGAAGACGGGCACTTCTTTGTTACAGCAGCGTTGGTCAATCCACTGCTGGATGAAGGCCTCACCAACCCGCAGTGACCGGCGTGGTGAAGTATGGTCAAAGAAGCCCCCCCCCCCGTGACCATGTGTGAATGGGAGGCCCAGAAGCGGTCGGTTCCCACATCGCCCGCCACTGACGTGAGCCGTGAGCTTGGGAATCGCGAACCACGGTGCCGACAAACGGCGCTACTGCTCCACTAGGGGGAGTAGGGGAGGCGTAATCAGTGGGGGGGGGGGGGGGGGGGTAGAGGAGGGGTGATCAGTGGGGGTGTAGGGGAGGGGTAATCAGTGGGGGGGGGGGGTAGGGGAGGGGTGATCAGTGGGGGAGTAGGAGAGGGGTAATCAGTGGGGGGGGGGTAGAGGAGGGGTGATCAGTGGGGGGAGGGGGGTAGAGGAGGGGTGATCAGTTGGGGTGTAGGGGAGAGGTAATCAGTGGGGGGGGGGGGGGGGGTAGAGGAGGGGTGATCAGTGGGGGGGGGGGGGGTAGGGGAGGGGTAATCAGTGGGGGGGGGGTAGGGGAGGGGTGATCAGTGGGGGTCAGTGGGGGGGTAGGGGAGGGGTAATCGGTGGGGGGGGGGGGGCGGTAGGGGTAATCAGTGGGGGTGTAGGGGAGGGGTGATCAGTGGGGGGGGGGGGTAGAGGATGGGTGATCAGTGGGGGGGGGGTAATCAGTGGGGGGGTAGGGGTAATCAGTGGGGGGGGGGGTAGGGGAGGGGTGATCAGTGGGGGGGGGTAGGGGAGGGGTGATCAGTGGGGGGGGGGGCTCTAGGGGAGGGGTAATCAGTGGGGGAGGGGGGGTGTAGGGGAGGGGTAATGAAGGGGGTGGGGTTTGTAGGGGAGGGGGTAAGGGGGTGTTTACCAGCCGTCCAACCTCAGGGGAGCCGGGAGGCACGCGTGGGTCTCCCAGAATAGCGAGCAGCCGGCGAGAGGAGAGAGAGGGGGGAGGGGGGAGGGAGGATACAGTGGGAGGGGCGGGGTGGGACGGGGGGGGGGGTCCTGCTCCCCATCCCTTCTCGCCCCTCTAGACGATTCGGGTGAGGGGTCATCATCAGCTCATCCAGTCGACAGAAGGCACCGCCAACGCTACAAAATGGGACCTTTTTTAATCAGTATAAAAGTGAACATTTTGATTTAAAGCTTTCGTGACTGCAGGGATTCATATTTCTGTCAGTATCAAAGTATGAAAAAATAACAATGTATACTTTATATTCTTGGTTCTTTCGGTAAAGTCACGTAGAATTATTAAGTCACGTAGAAGGGAAATAATAAAATAATACATTATTTTTTATTTTTTATTTCCCTTCTACGTGACTTTACCGAAAGAACCAAGAATATAAAGTATACATTGTTATTTTTTCATACTTTGATACTGACAGAAATGTACTATTCTTTAGCTGCTCACGCCGGGCTCTAAATGCTCTGACAGTGCATTGCCTTTGTGCTGTTCGCATTTTGGCATTCTCTGGTCTGACACTGGTGGTGAGACTTAGCCCCAAAGAAGGCTGCTGTCTCTGGCGTGGACCAATCAGTTTCAAAGACAATGCCCATATATGATCACAAGTACTATCTGTGGCTAATGCAGTCCTTGATTCCTTGCTGAAGGTTTCAATTTTGTGTTTGGACATCCTAACACCGCCTGCTTTATTGCTAGAAAGAGTAAAAGCCGATTCTTATTATTTCATACCGCCAATGGCAATCGTGCAGCCCCGTTTGTGTTCACATGAGCAACTGGGGAGAGAAAGTTTAACAGCACGTAGCAGGCATTCGCGACCAATATTATTCATAATTAACGTTTTTTGGGTTAGATCGCGTAAGTATAAATGTTGTGTCGTAACCCTCCACCACCCGACACAGCCAATGAGTAAGGGATTTGTCACGTAAACAAAACGCCAATTAGTTACTAGTTCAGCCCGATTATGCTGGATGTAATTACCAGCGAAACGTAGTACTGCTCAAATTGTAAATGTTGTGGATTTACTCTCCAACACACCGGTGAGCTGAAGTAGTAACTTATTGGCGTTTTGTCTAAGTGACAAATCCCTTACTAATTGGCTGTGTCGGGTGGTGGAGGGTTACGACACATTCATACTTAAACGATCTCACCCAAAAACCTTTATTTATTAATGATTATGGGGAGACAAAGGCGGTCGGGCTCGGTTTACACAACAACCCCCACCTTGTGTGTCGTGTTGGCCTTCACATAACTCCACACATCACGCTCATAAATTAAAAAAACTCGCAACAGCACTTGCCCGCACCAGACCGCGAAGGCTACACGGCTGCCCTTTATCTCTAATTGTATTCATAGTGTCTGGCACAGTGGGCGGCACAGTGGGCAACACAGGCGGTCGATCTGCCAGCCATCCCAATCGATCATCCCGGACCACCTGCGGTCTTGTCCTCCGGTACTGCCAGCGGCGTGCCTTCGATGCATTCACGTGACGGCTTCAGGGTGCACCTAGGCTGGCACTGACGTTCCCCTTGACAGTCCGTCGTAGTCGACGACGGCCATATATATGTGTGTCACGCTGCTCGTAGGTCAGGAGTGGCACGTGGAGTTGCTGATGAGTCAGATCCTGGGGAAATCGGTGGGCCGCACCGATTTCCCCAGGATCTGACTCTTCAGCAACTCCAGGAAAATCGTTCGGAGCGCGCTAGGAACACGGCCACCCGGGTACGATTCCCGCTCACGGACCGACAACACCGGTGACGATTATTTTGAACCGGTCCTGGGCCTCCCCCTAGGTCGACTCAGCCTCAAGTGAGTACCTGGCGCAGTGTGTAAACATCGCCACTGGGGAGACAAAGGCGGCTGGGCGTGGTGCTGGCCACCCACCCCCTCGTGTGTCGTGCCGGCCTTCATAGGTGCTCGCTAGCAGCACTTGCCCCAACAGCCTGTCGGCCATACGGGGGATCTTTGTCGTTGTGCGTGAGGAGCGGTGGCACAGCCGTTAGCGACAGCTGCTCCGTGACACCGGTGTGCGACGCGGGTTATGAGCCTATCGCGGGAAGACAAAGGCGGCCGAGAGTGTGTGGCGCTTCGAGCCAAGGCCACCTCACCGTGCAGGCCTTAATAGGTGCTCGCAAACGGCGCCCTCGCAGTGGCCGACTGAGCGCGCCGCTAAACTTAGCGACCAGGCGTCGTTGGTGGCGATGCCAGCTCGAGAAGACGCCCCCCCACCTCCACCGATCGCACTCGAGGGCCCGATCGGTGCGGCGAAGACGCCCGCCAGTCACCGACGGAATATATGTCAATGTGCGCCCGAGTGTGCCTGTGTGTGTCTGTGTGTGTGTCTGTGTGTCTCTGTGTGTGTGTCTGTGTGTCTCTGTGTGTGTCCCTGTGTGTCTGTGTGCCTGTGTGTGCCTGTTTGTGTGTCTGTGTGTGCCTGTGTGTGTGCCTGTGTCTGTGTGTGTCTCTGTGTGTGCCTGTGTGTCTGTCTGTGTCTCTGTGTGTGTCTGTATGTGTCTGTGTGTGCCTGTGTGTGTGCCTGTGTCTGTCTCTGTGTGTGCCTGTGTGTCTGTGTGTGTGTCTGTGTGTATCTGTGTGTCTGTGCCTGTGTGTGTGCCTGTGTCTGTCTCTGTGTGTTTCTGTGTGTCTCTGTGTGTGTGTGTCTATGTGTGTCTCTGTGTGTGTCTGTGTGTGTGTGGGGGTCCCAGCAGTCTGTTGCGGGCTAGACGAGGGGATCTTTTCTCTTTGTGGGGCGGTCCGCTCACGGCCACCAACACCAGTGACGATTTTCTGAATTGGTCCCCGGACTCCCCCTAGGTCGACTCAGCCTGAAATGAGTACCTGGTGCTATGTGTAAATATCGCCACTATGGGGGGGGGGGGGGGGGTGACGAAGGCGGCTGGGCGCGGTGCTGGTCAACCCCTCCCTCGTGTGCCGTGCCGGCCTTCATGGGTTGCTGCTCGATCACAGCACTTGCCCCGAATATCGTAGTCCGTTAAGGCTACACGGGGGATCTTTGTCTTTGTATGACCAGGGGTGGTTCGCGTGAGACGAAGTCGCCGCTTGGATTCGGCCCGTGGCCTGGAGGAGCTTTCCGATCGCCGACCCGCTGTTAAATCGTGCCGCGGTATCACGGATGGAGGAGGGTGGGATGGAGGGTGGCATGGCTGAGGGTGGGGGAGGGATGGGGGAGGGTGGGGGAGGGATGGGGGAGGGGTTGGCGGAGCGAGTGAGATCCGAGCGAGGAGGAGAGTTGAATTTAACACACACACAGCGCACACCCCGTGTGTATCCACACAGTAAAGACACACACACACACTGGCACAACCACCCCCGACACACGCACACAACCATCACCAGCAGCCCCTCCTCCTCTGTATATATCAATGCCTGACGCCGAGCGAGACAGAAGCCCCGACGGAGAGGAGGGCGCGAGAGGCCGAGCGACTGAGCGGGGCACCCCCACGAAGACTCCATCTCGACTGCCGACTTGGAGCCGATCCCCCCTCCTACCGCGCCTCCCCGTTGCGCCACCACGGGCGACGAACAGAGACGCGACATCATCATCAACAACAGCGGCATCAGCGGCAGCAGCGGCATCACAATAGCATCAGTAACAGCAGCAACGGCAGCAGTGATCGGTTGAATTAGCGGAGGTAGCTGCAGCATCAGCGACATCAGCAGCAGCAGCGTCTTCATTTGACTTATTAGGAGAACCACCGGCAGTATCGGCAACAACAACACCATCATCATCATCAATACCACCACCACCATCAGCAGCATCAGCAACACCACCATCAGCAGCAGCAGCTGTCGGGATGTCTCCGCAGAGCCGGTGGCGAGGCTCTGGGGGATCCGCGGAGGGAAGCTCTGATCCGGCAGGCGACGGCGCGACTGGGAACGGAGTCGAACTGAACCCTGACAAGCAGCGTGGTGGCGGTGGTGATGGAGGAGGCGGAGGAGGAGTGGCGCTCCGAAAGGAGATCGGCCTCGTGAGCGCTTGTGGCATCATTGTGGGTACGTGTCTCCACGTGTTGTCTCCACGTGTCTCGCTTTGTCAGTGGGCTAGGGCAAGGACTCGCTATGGCTAATGAGGGATGATGATGCTAATGGGGGATTAGGGCTTTGTTGGTCTTTGTGGCGCCACGGCTTCGTAATATCGCAGTTTGGGTCTCCGTGTCTCACCGTGTCCCATCTGTACCGTCTCGTGTGTCCCGTTGTGTGTCTCGGTGTTGCCCTCCTCTCCCGCCTGCACTGGTAGTGGTCGTGGGGACAGATCCAGGCAGACTCACTCGTGATGCACACAGCGAGACACCGGGACACTGGGACACGGAGACGCTGCCACATGGCAGCGTCTCCGTCGAACAGCTGAGAGTTAGGGGGTAGGGCAAGGGGGGTGGGGAGCGAGGGGTGGAGGGGGGTTTCGGGCGGGGGGGTGAAACACGAGCGAGTTGGGAGAAGCCACACGCGCACACGTTCTGTTATAACGCCACTAACCCCACGGCTCCGACTGATGTGGTTCGATCTCCGGGCGCGGCATCTGGACTAATGAAGACATGTCTTAAGTCTCCCCCCCACACCCCATCCCCCCATCGCTGCCTCTGTCCACCCATCAGCGGTCTCGATAGTTTAGTTCACAGCTTTAAATGGGTAAGCGCCACGTGCTTTTAATCGTTGACCGGCGAGTCCCGTGTGCGAGTGGTGGGGTAAAGTGTGGGTGAGGCTTCTGATCGGCGTGGAAGAAGTGGCCAGCGGCTATCTCCTAGACGTGGACTGTCTTTTTGTAAACCATGTACACAGACCAATATGTATGGCGGGGGTTGTGGAGGACGATCGTTCTGCTGATCGATTCACGCCCCTTCAAGGAGTCCGCGTGACCTGCCCAAATCCCAATGAATCATTAAACGGGCGAGTAGGAACCCGTTAATCTGCAGTGCAACATTCGGAGAGACGCTGTCATCATGGCTTGGTATTCTGACAGTCATCCTGTACTCGGACCACTAAAAGTAATGGAGACGTTACATGAAAGCGGTGCGGTATATATGTACGTAGAACTTCTTTCGCACCGTACGTAGCTAACCGTGCTAATCGGAGGTGCGGGGGAAGGACAACACGAAACACAAAAAGCAGTTATCCTTGTTAGTGTTCCTGTACTCGAAGCACTGAGAGTCACGTGCTTATATTACGTACACACAGTCTACACAGATACGCTATGACGAAGGGTCGTTTCCTGAAACGTCGCCGATTATATCCATTTATTTTCAATAAAGACAAAGATCCCACCCTCCGTATAACCTCAACAAACTGTTGGGGCAAGTGCTGTTAGCGAGCCCATATCAAGGACGGTACACGATGGGGTGGGTGGCCAGCACCACGTCTGACCGCCTTTGTCTCCCTGGTGGCGATGTTTACTATACACTGTACCAGGTACTCATTTGAGGCCGAGTCGACCTAGGTGAGGCTCGGGACCGATTCATTAAATCGTCACTGCTGTTGACGTGAGTGGGAATGGAACTTATCTGAAATTCAAGGCCACACACACACATACAGAAACAGCGTTGCCGTCTAACGTACAGAGTTGTATTTGGAACTCCTCATTTAATGATTGACTTTGTGTGCGCCCGCGTTCCCTCTAATTACGATTACAGATAAATTAATTAATGGGGTTCACGTGGGGGATTTGGGGACGGCGAGTTAATGGATTAACGGGTTAATGGGTAATGGGGGAGCTCATCCAGTCGACACGTGCACAGCAGCAGTACGAGTGATCCATCCTACTCCACGCCGGTGCAAGATACGAGATGTGCCATACCATACTCTTTGGTTTTGTCGGTAAAGTCACGTAGGTAAAAAATAAAATAAATGAAAACTAAATGATGGCCTACTGCTGATGCAGACAGTCTGCATCAGCAGTAGGTCATCATTTAGTTGTTTTCATTTATTTTATTTTTTGCCTACGTGACTTTACCGAAAAAAACAGAGTGAATCCTTGCAGTCACGAAAGCTTCAAATCTAGGGTGTGCATACCAGTGTGTGTGTGTGTGTGTATATACACTGGTATGTATATATATTAACTCCGTTATAACGGATGCTGCCATGGGTAGTAATCAGAATCTGAATATTGATTTATACTGGAGGAATCCGATGGGCTGTAAAGCTCTTTTTCAGAGATGCCCAGTAGGGGCTGGTCAGAACGTTACAACAAATGATACAAGATCGACGCAGCTTTGCAAATTATAGGCAAGATAAATGAAGCGTATACAAACAAAACGTAACTTTAATCTTACTGGATAAGGCCCACTGAGCCATTAGCTGCTTTTTTCAGACGTGACCTTGCCACAAATGACAGCCTAACGATTTTGCCCACCATGTAGAAATCCACAGCAGCGAAATAAAATCTAAATAAGAATCTAATTAACAATCTAGACGCATGTTTCTAAATTTGGAGGGAAAAAAAAGATAATTATCGGTGCACCAGACTTGATACTTCCCGGTTCGATTCGATTTTTCCGGCACGGCAGTGGAAACAGCAATGGTTGCGCAATGATTTATTAAATCATTTGTTTGGGTACCACAGTGGTGAGATTTTTAACTACCTCGCTTGGCATGCAGGAGGTCGTCGAGTTCGATCCCTACCCTGACGATGCCTGCTGTATATTCGGAGTTTGCGGTGTCTCTCTCCCCGTGGTCGTGTGGAGTTTTCTCCGGCTCGTCTAAACACGCGCGTTTAACAGAGTATTTGTTCGCGAGAAATTTCCACACGATGAGCCACTTCGTTGAGCTATCACTTGTGACCTGGTCGCTTCTGACAAATAGCTATACTAAATCACGACCGTCACAGCAAAATTTCTGTATCAAGTGGGATACAGCAATTTTGCTGTGACGGTTCCACCTGAAGATGGAAGCTTGTGTTGCCTCTGAAACGTCGTGATTTAATTTATTTTAATTTTTACCTACGTGACTTTACCGAAAAAACCAAAGAGTATAAATCCTTGCAGTCACGAAAACTTCAAATCTATAATTAAATAGCTAAACGTATAGCCCATTGGGCCTTACCTGGTAAAATGAAAGTTAATTAAAGTATTGATTTAAAGCTTTCGTGACTGCAGGGATTAATATTCTTGGTTCTTTCGGTAAAGTCACGTAGAAGATAAATAATAAAGTAATACAAATATAAAGCAATAATTTATTTTCACGACGTTTCGACTGCAACACAAGCAATGATCATCAGGTGTGAAATCCCCAGCAAGATTGCAGTCGAAACGTCGTGAAAATGTTTTTACTGTTTTATATTTGTATTATTTTATTATTTCCCTTCTACGTGACTTTACCGAAAGAACCAAGAATATTAATTAAAGTAGTTTAGTTTTAAATGCCCCCCTCCCTTCTCACTAACCCCCCCCCTCATCCCTTGCCCCCCACCACTATGCCTGCGAGTCTCAGCACGCGAATGATCACCTCTGTTGATGATGCTCCCCACGTCTCGCTGTGTACCCTCCCCCCGGCTGCCAAATCGTGGCGGGGATTAAAAGTGTCGGCTCCTTGATGACTGCCCTGCGGTGGCGGAAGCGGCGAGTGGTCGAGACTGGCAAGTCTGCACCTGGGGTCGACGGCTCCTCTTAATCCATGCGTTCCGTTGGTGGTGACCTAAATGGGTGGTGGCCCATTTGCCACCGAGACTTGTGGTCTGGCCAGAAGGTGGTCCAGTGGAGTTGAGAGCGTTCGTGATTTAGCGTCGCCATGACCGTGAACTTATAGCGGCACGTCGACTTCATCTAAAGCAGGGGTGGGGAACCTTTTTTCTGCCAAGGGTCATTTGGATATTTATAACATCATATTCGCGGGCCATACAAAATTATCAACCTAAAAATTTTCCCGTTATATTTGGCCAAACATTTCAGTAACTCACCCCTAATGTGAAGGCTGGAACTGCTTCTCTTTGGCGAGGCGTGTGATGTTAGCTGGTATTGATGATGTTGCTGCTACTCGCAACTGCTTTTCCAGGTTTGCTCCGAGATTTATTGAATTTCGAGTCCCGCCTGTGGTTGGCTTGGCAGGGCCACACCAAATGATTTTGCGGGCCTTATACGGCCCGCGAGTCGGACGTTCCCAACCCTTGATCTAAACGAATCCCCACCTTTTTTAAAATCTGTACACCTATTGCTTTAATTATTCCCCTTGAGCTAATTGGGGCTTTTTGCTTCCTTTCCGTTAGCCCTGGTACCTCTGCGGTGGAAGGAGGGAGGTGGGCGGGGGGCCGCTATAACTCTAACAAAGTTGATCCAATATCAACGAAACTCGAGCGTAAAGCCGCATAGGTATTCGGGACCCGCGGTGGAGATAATCGGGCAGGTTGACCCAAGCGTCATTAACGAAACCACATTATAATATATGGTGACAATTTAGCAAATATGCAAGCGTGTCTCTGCCACCCCTGTCTGCTTGCACGCGCACGCACGCCGCTCCTTAACACTCTCCCGCAGACGAGGCATTGGTGGGGAGTCGCGGCGATGGTGCAGGAGGACCATGCCCTGATGGATGAACGTGCCGCTAGGAATCCCCGTGCGTGTCGCGCGATTTTTTTTTTGTTTCCCCCCCACCCCGTCCTCTGGTTTTGTTCGGAGTTCGCTGCGGTGGGCGTTGTTGTGCGTCTCTCCTCCTCCGAATCGAGCTCCTAAAAAATAAAAACTGTCGGATTGTCTTGGGAACACTTCTGGGGTCCTCTCTCGCCATCGCTCCCGCATCTTGACGAGGTCTGTGTTCCGACGTCGGGATTTGTGGTGCGATTGATGACACATTTAATTTCCGCCCCCATTGCACCGGTGATTCCGTAGATTAGAAAGATCGCGTGATTTATCCTACATCAAGCAGCAGTTCAAGGCTCCCCACCTGGTGCTGGACTCGTTCAGGTTCCTCCACCCTGGTTCAGGTTCCTCCACTTGGTTCGGGCTTCTTGAAATGTCGGAACCGGTGCCCACCTCTCACCTGTCCCCGTGAACCTCCCCCCCACCCCGCCCACTTTGGGAAGTTTCTAATTTCGAAATTGACATCGTCAACAGAAGTAAAAAAACCACAGGCACGGCAATAAATGAGAACTGGGCTAAAGTTGAGGGCGCTTAATAATTAAGGCGAGGGGAAGAGTGAGGAGCACGCAGTCAGCAAGCGCGCAGCAGGAAGCGGTCAGCAAACCCGCGGGGCCTCCCGCCGAAGCAGTTGAGCCACGCAGCAACTTTTGCGACCACGTGTGCGCTTGCTGTTCCTGAAGCGTTCGTTCCGAGGGATGGCAGCCGTGGATTTCGACGCGGAGAGTCACCGGTGTGATCTCCCGGCGTGGCAGATGAACCACTGAGCATGATCGCCCCCCCCCCCCGCACCGTCTCCATCCAACCGCAGTTCGTCAATCGGCAGGTCACGTGCGGTGGTGGTGGTGGGGTGAAATGTGGGTACGCCCACCACTTCCAAGACGTCTATCTGGTCGGCGATGAAAGAGTAGGCAAAGAGCCACCGTGGAAGGGCGCTTTATAGAGATGCCCTCTGGTGGAGGTGTATCCACTGGCAGTGAGGATTGCAGCGCAGTTACGGGGCTGCCGCTTTGCATTCCTTAACCCGCACCTCCAATTTGAGCACGGTTGGCTATGTACGGTGCGAAATAAGTTACACATCCGTTACACATTGCATCGAATTGGATATCATATTGCATTGCATTCAATTCTGTTACATTGCATGTTTATCGTTTATTGTATCGCATTGAATTATGTATTGCATTGCGTTGTGCAGATATATTGTATCGGCCTGCATTGTATCGCAGTGTGTTTCACTGTACTGCATTGGACGTCATTGGCTCGGTGATCTTCGTGTCCCCAAAGGAAATGATGGATACATTGTGTACCGCATTGTTATCACATAACATCGCATTGTTATCACATAGCGTTGCATTGTATCGCGCTGCATTGCAGGGAACATCATCGGCTCGGGGATCTTCGTGTCCCCCAAGGGCGTGATGGAGAACGCCGGCTCAGTAGGCCTCGCCCTCCTCGTGTGGATCATCACCGGCGTCATCACCGCCATCGGCGCCCTCTGCTACGCCGAGCTGGGGGTCACCATCCCCAAGTCCGGCGGCGACTACAGCTACGTCAAGGACATCTTCGGGGGCCTCATGGGGTGAGCAGTGAGCGGCGTGGGGGCTTGGCGGGTCGGGCGGGGCGGGCGAGGTGCCCCGTTTGCGCGCCGTCGCTCTGCCCACGTGCTCTCGTGCAAGGGCGGCGCCCGCCGCCACGCTTGCGCTGTCGGTCGCGTTGCTTGCAGCCGCCGCCCGGCGGCGACGTCACGAAGCGAATTCGCGAGAACCCTGTGGGGGTGGAGGGGTGGCGCCGCGGTTGGCGACACGCCGTGCTGCGGACCCGCTAGCCCAATGCTTCTTAAACCTTCGCTGCAGTCGTTAAACAATATAAATATGATATGAATAAATGGATAGGACTTGATTAAACAAAGTAGTTGTACGTACGTGCCCATGGTTAATTTGTGTTTTCAATGATTTACCTTAAAAAAAAATCTGACGTCTCGCACACCCAGAAAGGGCATCTCGCACCCTCTGGGGGGAACGATTCCCGGCCACGACTGACTTGAGTGTTGAGTGCTATCCAAACCGATCCCCCCCACCCCCCACACTCACGCCCATCAGGTTCGCCAACCCACACTGACCAGCGTGGTGAAGTATGGTCAAACAGCCCCCTCCCCTCCCCCCACGAGCAATACGGTAGGACTTTATCCAGCAGGCATTGACAAGCGGCTGGAAATTATAATCATCACGCAATTATTACAAGAGTTAAACTTATTACTTTGTGTGTCTAAAATACAGCACTGAATTGCTATGGAGCGTCTCCTAGATTGACTCGGCCTTAAATGAGTACCTCCTGCAGTGTGTGAAACATCATTTGGGGAGACAAAGGCGTCCAGGCGTGGTTCTGGCCACACTGCCCTTATCATGCGTCGTTTTGGCCTTCATAGGGTGCTGCTCACTAACAGCACTTGCCCTCGGCAGCCTGTGTAGGCTACACGGGGGACCTTTGTCTTTCTATGGTTTAGAGGTGGAGAGTGGTGGGGCGCTATGAACCCGGTGGCCCTGAATTACATTCCCACCCATGTGGAACATCAGCTGTATCACCCTGACTCCGTTATCCAGCCTTGTCGAGGTCAACTCAACAATGAGTGCACCCAGTGTGGCGTGTGGTGTGTGAACCATCGACACCCGGGGGAGAGACAAAGGCGGCCGGGCGAGGCGCCGCCACGGTCGCCTCGTTCACGCCAGCCCCCGCTGCGCTTCGAACCTGTCGCCGTGAGGCGGCCGGGCGTTGTGCTGGCCACCCGCCGGCCTTCGTAGGTGCCGCTCGCCAACAGCTGTGACAGCCGGCGTATGGAGAAGTGCAAGCTCCGAATAGAATATTGAGAAGGGGTTAAAAGAGTAAGCCGCAGATTAGAGAACACACCACACCAGATTAGAGAACGCACCACACCAGGTGAAGGAACGCACCACACGACGCGTTGCTCGCGGACGCTAGCGTCGCGTGTTATGCTTTGCTGCGGTGAATTTCTTTCGCACCGTGCGTAGCCAGCCGTGCTGATCGGAGGTGCGGGGGATTCCTCGCGATTACACGACATCCACGTCGGTTAACTCGCTGACCCCGTGCCCCTACTGGACACCTATGAAAAAGAGTTTCAAAGGTCATCGGATTCCTCCCTCCAGTTTAAATAGATCACGCAAATATATAAATGTGTCGTGAAACTTCGTACTCGCATTGTAAATGTTGTGGCTTGGCTCTCCAACACACCGGTTAGTGCTGTACTAGTGACGAATTGGCACGTTCTGTTTACGTGACAACCCTTACTAGTTGGCTGTGTCGGGTGGTGGCGGGTTTAACGCCACATTTATATATTTACGTCATCTAACCCCAAAACAACCTCCGTTATTGAAGATTCTGCTTTTGGCGGGGGTGGGCGAGCGGGTGGCTGGCGGGTGGTGAGCAGGCGAGGTGGGCGAGCGTCGTCACCATCCCCGTGTCACCATCCCTTCGTTGTCACCATCCCCGTGTCACCATCCCTTCGTTGTCACCATCCCCGTGTCACCATCCCTTCGTTGTCACCATCCCCGTGTCACCATCCCTTCGTTGTCACCATCCCCGTGTCACCATCCCTTCGTTGTCACCATCCCCGTGTCACCATCCCTTCGTTGTCACCATCCCCGTGTCACCATCCCTTCGTTGTCACCATCCCCGTGTCACCATCCCTTCGTTGTCACCATCCCCGTGTCACCATCCCTTCGTTGTCACCATCCCTTCGTTGTCACCATCGTCGTCGCCGTTTGCTGCAGGTTCCTGCGCCTGTGGATCGCGCTGCTCGTGATCTACCCCACCAACCAGGCGGTGATCGCCCTCACGTTCTCCAACTACGTGCTGCAGCCACTCTTCCCCACGTGCCTCGCGCCCGACTCGGCCCTGCGTCTCCTGGCTGCGATCTGCCTCCGTGAGTCTCCGTCGGTGTTCGTTCACGAGGGGGGGGGGGGGACGACGACCCTTGGATGTACGACTGCCGAGCTGTCTGCTTCGGGGGTTTGCATTGCCCTTGTGCTGGTCGCCGTTTGGCGACTGCATTATTGGTCCTGGCACCATGGCATCCTTAGGTCTATCAGAATGTGTATTTATTCTGGAGGAATCCGACGAGCTGTGAAGCTCTTTATCACCGATGACCAGTCGTATAACTGCTGAACCAGAGTTATCAATGCTTTGGCATTTGCAGCGGCCGTGTGGTGTTTCGCCTGTTGGTGTTCGGCACCAGTGAGACAAAGCCAAGCAAGAGGCTGGCCTCTGGTGTACGCCAAAGCATACAATATCAGGAGCATATTTTACTTGCAAATTATTACCACAAGTATGTGTGCTTATTGCTAGGCCGGATTGTCTTATTTGGTGTTTGAACATCTTGACACCCTCCTGGATTAATGCCAGACAGGGTGAAATGCCATTGGTTTTATAACATTGAATACGTGGTGCGGTGTGTGTGTGAAAGCATCATCACTGTGGAGACGTGCTCTCTGCCGGCCTGCATAGGTGCTCACTAACGGCACTTTCCCGAACAGTCTGTGTAGGCTACACGGGAGACCTTTGTCTTGTGTATGTACACAGGTGGTTCGCGCACCGCACTACCGACCTGAGGCGAGCCGAGTTCGAATCCCGCTCACAATAAACGGTGGCGAATATTTGAACCTGTCCCTGGCCTCCCATTGGGCTATGAAATGATTACCTTAGAGCGGTGTGTGCTAAACATCGGCGCTGGGGAGAGACAAAGGCGGCCGGGCGGGCGGTAGTGGGGAGTGGTTAGCGCTGCGCCACCGCTCCCCAAACAAAGACAAAGATCCGCCGTATAGCCTTAACAGACTGTAGGGGCAAGAGCTGTTAGCGAGCACCTATGAAGGCTGGAACTGTACACGAGGGGGTGGGTGGCCAGCACCACGCCCGACCGCCTTTGTCTCCCCAGTGGCGATGTTTATACACTGCACCAAGTACTCATTTGAGGCTGAGTCGACCTAGGGGAGACCCAGGACCGGTTCAGTGTGTAAACAACGACAAAGGCGGTCGGGCGTCGTTGCTAGCCACCCACCGCTTCGTGCAACCGTTTCGGCCTTCGTAGGTGCTCGTCAACAGCACTTGCCCCAACAGTCTGTCAAGGCTATGCGGGGGATCTTTGTCTCTTGCCTTTGTTTAGGGATTAGAATGTTTTTGTTTAATTGCGCGCAGTCACCGTTCGTCCTCCACCTGCTGCTGTTCTGACCCACAAACGAAGTGAATCTGTTTACAATTGCGGAGCAAGACTACACCCAACACCCACCCAGGCAGGCAGCCAGCCCCTCCAAGAGCATCGCCCCACACCCCCCCGTCTCTCCCTCTTCCCCTCCTCGGCAACCAGCTGAAACCAGCTGTCAGACCACCCCCCCCCCACCACCACCACCTCCATCCCTTTTCCTCGCAGCCATATCTCAGCTGTTGCCGAGTCGGCGATAACTCCAGACTCCTTGTTTTTCAGCTGAAAGATTGCGCCGTCACGGGGAGGGAGGGGAGGGGGAAGGGAGGTTGTGCGAGGAAAATGTTTTCTCTGTACAACGCTGCTGACTTTCTGCCGGCTTGCAATTCCGCCCGGGCGACGGGGATGTTGAAAGGGGAGCCGCTCCAGCGCATCGGTTCACCCCCCCCCCCCCCCCCGTGGAATGCGAGACGCGAGCGATGACTCCGACTTGCGAACGTACAAACCGCATGGCGGCACGAGTCGCAGCGTCGTTCATCATTTAACGCTCCCCCCCCCCCGGCAGAAAAGTTAAAGGCGCAGCCCTGCAATTGCCTGCTCACGCCACTGCTGCTGGCGGGTGAGGCGAGGTTGTATTTGGTCTACTCTTCCGGGGGCCGGCCCAGACGTCTTGGGGGAGACGTGGCGTGTACCCACGTCTCTAGGGTTTCGCATAAAGCTGGGCCCTCCCGGGGAGAAGGTGGTGGTGCAGATAGGTTGGGACCGATTTCAATCTGCTCCTTCTGGGCTCTCTCCCGGTTGCTGCGGTTTCCCTGCGCGTGCGTGCACACGCATTGATTGGCTGTGAACATCTTAACATGTAGAGGAGCGCGGAGAGTGGGCAGGTTGTTGGTAGCGCCAGCTCATTCCCTCGCAGCAGCTGCTGACTTCACTGCCTCACCCCCCCCCCGCATCTCCCATTATCACGGTTAGCTACGTACGGTGCGAAACAAGTTATATACACATACCGTGTTGTACTGCACTGTACGTACGACTGAAACGTTCCCTTATTTAGAAAACTCTCGCTATGATTACATTTCGTCCGGGGACACGGAACTGTTCGTACCTATCATGATAACGACGAAGACGACTTCTACGACCGCGCCGGGTGATGTAATCTCTCCCGACTCGCCAGCCCCCAGCGTGGCGACTTGTCATCGGTGTTCGGTCGACTGGGGGAGCTGGGAGGAGAACTGGGGAGGGGGGGAGACTGATTGCATTGGGACCCGACATCGTAAGGGGAAGGAGGAGCCGGGGGGGGGTCCTTGCCTGCAAGATCTGGCCAGAGCCTGGCTCCGCTTGATAAGGCGACTTATAATTAGCAACAAGAGCCGGGCCGTCAGGTGCTGCACCAAATGAGAATCTGTTTGAGTAACCCACTAACCCTCAACCAAACAATAACAGCCCACCAACACAAAGACAAAGATCCCCCGGGTAGCCTCGAACTGACGGTTGGGGCAAGTGCTGTTAGCGAGCACCTATGAAGGCCGGCACGGCACACGAGGGGGTGGGTGGCCAGCACCACAGCTGGCCGCCTTTGTACCCCTAGTGGCGATGTTTACACACCGCTCCAGGTACTCATTTGAGGCCGAGTCGACCGAGAGGAGGACCGGTTCAGATAATCGTCAGCGGTGTTGGCCGTGAGCGGGAATCGAACCCGTTTCGTCGGGTTCGTAGCGCAGCGTAGCGCTAAACGCGTAAACACACACACACTGTGGTCACGTAATCACACTTACACCCACAAAAACACACTTAGGCACGCATGTGCTTAAAGACAACATGCACACACGCCCATAAACAAAATGACATACACACTCAACTACATATACATACACATCTGGTCACAAACAGCAGTAACAATAAAACACCCACTCCCCACTTCCCCCTCCAACACGAGCAGTTGTTATGGCAGAGCCTGGGACTCTGCAGCAGCTCGCAGTGACACCCAGAGATAACTTCTGATTGGCTGAGCCTTCGGGGCATCTACTGGGCACTGAATGTTCTTGAGTGAGTGCGTGCGTGTGTGTGTCTGTGTGTGTGTGGTGTTGTTGTGTGTCTGTGTGTCTGTGCGGGGAGCGGTAGTGTAGCGGTTAGCGCATTGCGCTACGAACCCGGCGACACGGGTTCGATTCCAGCTCACGGCCAACACCAGTGACGATTATCTGAACCGGTCTTGGGCTTCCCCTAGGTCGACTCAACCTCAAATGAGTACCCGGTGCAGTGTGTAAACATCACAACCTTTGTCGCGGGGAGACAAAGGCGGCCGGGCGTGGTGCTGACCACCCACCCCTTCGCGTGCCGTGCCGGCCTTCATAGGTGCTCGCTAACAGCACTTGCCCCTACAGTCTGGGACAGGCTACACGGGTGATGTTTGTCTTTGTGTGTTGGGCAGTGTGTGGTTTGTACAAGGCAGTCCAGCCATGTGTTTATCTACGGCTTGTGATCACCCTCTACTCCTGTGTCTGTAAGTACGGACGTTCGTGTGTGTGTCCGTCTGTGTGCAGCATGTGTGTTTGTTGAACTGCTTTCTCTCACCCTACGTGGCTAACCGTGCTGATCAGAGGTGCGGGGGATGGACAACAAACTGAACACAAAAAAGCATTTCTAAAGAGATGAGTTTTCAATCTATATGCATGTGTGTGCGTGTACATTCCCATCGGTGAGCTCATGTGACATGCCCAGCCACCGCTTGCCCAAGTAGCTTTTGTTTGGCCGGATAGAGGGGGCTTAACGCGGCACGGGCTCGAGGAGAGATGGAGTGATGTGGTACAGGAGGACGTGGAGCTGAGTGGACTTGCCGATGACTGGTACCAGCGGTGTTAAGAGGAGGCTCGTGAGGGACGCTACTGGGCAGTTGGAGGCAGTCGCCCTCCAACAACAACAAAGGGCAGAGGAGCAACACTCACAACAACGAGCGGAGCGCCGTGCGGCTAAAACACAGAAAGTTGGCACAGTAGGGGGCACAGGTGGTGCATCTGCTAGTTCGATTCCAGCTCGCGGCCAAGACCGGTGAAGATTATCTGAATCGGTACTGGGCCTCCCCTAGGTCAACTCAGCCTCAAATGAGTACCTGGTGCGGTGTGTAAACATCGTCACTGGGGAGACAAAGGCGGCCAGGCGTGATGTTGGCCACCCACCTCCTCGTGTGCCGTTCTGGCCTTCATAGGTGCTCGCTAACAGCACTTTCCCCAACTGTCTGTTAAAGCTATACGGGGGGGATCTTTGTCTTTGTAAGTGTGGGGAGCGGTGGCACAGTGGTTAGCCGCGATGCGCTACGAACCCGCCGACCCGAGTTCGATTCCCGCTCACGGCCAACCACCAACAGCGACGCTTATGAGGCTCCATGGGACGGGTTTAGAACGTGGTCGTGTTTTTTTAAAATGCATATCGCACTCCTCTGACCTTGCCAGAGACTTTAAATATCCCGAGTTCTGCGTTGCCACGTGCTCGCGTGATCCCTTACCTCCACACTCGAATAAAACCAGTCGCTCATTTGCCCTGGTGGTGGAGGACACGACAATAATCACAACAACAACGCAATTCATCTCTCGCGCACAATATTTCACAATGGCCCTTATTTGATAGCACGTCTTATCTTGACATGGCCTTCACCTAGAAGAAGCAAATTTGTTTAATGTGCTCCGAGGAAGGTTGCCTTGTTCATAGCGAACCACAAACGCTGCGGTCGT